AAAAAGTCACCATTTCTTTTTTCTTAATCACTTTCGTACATAGTTTGTTCTTGTTAATAATGAGTACTAAGTTTAGTTAGTTGAAGTTCAGTTTGGTTTTGACAAGTTTTCACACTGTTCTTTCATGTAGTTTTTCCAGATAATGAATAACCCTTAATTAAACTGGACATTGCAATTTATGATCTAGTTTATTTAAAGACAATCTCTGAGCAGCATAATGATTTATTTGGGTGAATCACCCGATTATAAGAATGACTCACTTGAATATTTAAACTTTCAGAAAATTTGAAATCCAAAAATGTTTGCAATTCTTAATGAACTCAATATCTATTAGTTAATCTTTTGTCTAATCCACCTGTGAGTTTAATGCTCAATATAAAACTTATATTTCAGGATGTCCGTGTTTGTGAGCGACAGTAAGATCAGATCATCCGCCAATATACAGTCATCATTTATTCATCTGCTTCCTCAGAAATCTGCCCACCACATGCCGCCTTCACAACAGAGAAACAGACAAATATCCGCAAACCAGATCTTTCTGCTTTTATCACTAAGATTCAAAGCGGCTCAAAAAAAAAAAAAAAAAAAAATTCCGGCTGCAGGATCTGTTCTTCATCATGTTGTTTGGATCAGCTGGTGTTTTGGTGATTTTTAGAGGCTGTATAAAATCAATGGCATTGACCATCATTCTTCTTTTTTATCATTTAGCTTTCCCAGGACTGAGTAATGCAGTGATTCAGTGTGTATTTCCAGCAGGGATGATGTCAATAACATGATGACAGAGTCGAGAGTCATCGGCCGTGTGAGCGCTGAGCCATTATCCTGTTGAAAACACTTGCTATCAAACATCTCAAAGTAATCTCTGAATATCTGTCCGAGATTTGATGAATATGTAATATGTGCTGCACTTTCCTCTCAATAACACAATAAACACGCAACAGAACTGAGAAAGCATCTGATCATAGAGATGTGGATGTTTGCAGCAGATCTGAGATTCACCGCATCATGTCCACATTAAATCATGAATAAATTATGAAAGTCTGATTATAAAGTGTATTAGAGACTGTAGATCTGACTATGTGAGACTTAATCTCTTTTCTTTGCATGACTGACGTTACAGTGCGGAACGGCTCTTTCTGCATAACCCTGAACATTGTATAAGCATTAGTTTCATGTGCGATTGAAGGAAGAGGCTCTCGGGAGCGTAACGTCACGTGCTTTTCATTGTTTACTGTAAAACCAGAACGAGTTCTTCACATAAACATCAGTCTCGTTACAAGCTGTTCACACAATGACAATAAAAAAAACAATTAATACAGGAAAGTTCTTGCATAAAGCCCCTTTAAACTCAGAATTTTGATTATTTCTTCAGAAAAAAAGACTTAATATCTTGTCATCAGCTAACAGTCAAGATACTCTCAAAGTTATGATCAAACGTTCTTCCAATAACGTTAATAGAACGTTCATTCAAAGTCATCTGGTCTTTCATAATCTTCTCTAAAAATTAGCACTAAAACATCATTTATACATCATTCATGGAACGGTTTTTTTTTCTGAAACGTTTTAGTTACACATAATGTTTGATGAATGAACGTTCCCTTAACGTTCACATAACCAAGAAAAACTTTTTTTAAACATTAAAAAACTGAATGTTTTGGGCGTTCAGAACACTCATAATTTAAAGCTAAATGTACATGGTTTTGAGAGATCTTCCAGCTAATCCAGTAAATGTACCTTGATTTTAAAAATGTTTAGATATTTGTGTTGGAAAACACGTGAAACACTGAGGAAGTGCTTTAGTGAATTAGCAGCTACACTGTAACAGTGTGTTTTATTTGTGTATCACGTCAGTTCAAAGCAAATGGTTATTAATCCTGTGGATTTTGATTTTTCCATGCACGCACTCTTGTCGCGTGTGTTTGAGGATCAGCGTGCGTCACGTTAAACTCATCCAGAAGGTCCTCAAGTGTTTGTTTGGTTTGTCCTCAGCGTTTCACTCGGCCTTGGATGATGTTGGCTTTATCATTCAAAAGAAATCACTCCGCTGTTTCCCTGGAAACAAAAAGCCACTGATACATCATTCGTGTGCCTGTTCACGTGCGCGCGCCTCATCTGAGCATGTGCTCCTGCTGTACATGTACAGTACAGATGATGCTTAACTGAGGATTTCTGAGTCACTTTAGTGCTCTTCGGTCATTTGTGACTGAAAAATGTTACGTTAAAAAACAAACTCCGACTTCATCGGAATGGTATGAAATTGGTGAAGGTTTTGGAACTTCCTGTGTGAACACAACAACAAAAAATCAATCCCCTGGCCATGATCTGAACAGGTTAACTGGTCCCACTGGAGCTGCTCGCGCTCAGAAACGACGCACTGGAAATGAAGGAGAGTTTCCTCTAGTGGAAGCGTGTGGAACTGCAGCCGAACACACTCTCACTGAACGCTCGTCTACTGAGATCAGACTCACATGCGGAACACCACTGGTGGAGAGTTATGGATTTGGTTTCTCAGTTTTAGAGTACAATGTGTTTTTGAAAATATAGATTTCATATAAAGATTTAAATAGTATTTTTTGTGCATTTTTCATAACAATACACATAAAATTCTGTAACTTTTTAAGTTCACTTTTTTCACCTCAGCAATAATCTGCCGAGTGTCGTGTTTGAGAAGAGATCAAACTTCAGTCTGTCGCTCTAAAGCGTTCAAGATTTACCACAGTTTAATTTGGACATGTAATGTTCCAGCCCGTTCTCATCCCAAGGCGTCATACGTGTGACGCTTTTGACATTTCGTCGAAATCTTATGCACATGGCATCCTTTAGCGTCAATATGAGACGCAGATCCCAAGGCGACATAACCGTAACCCTACCCCAGACCTAAACCTACCCATAATAACATATGTTATATTGACGCTAAAGGAGCCATGTGCGTAAGATTTCGACGAAATGTCACCTATGTTTACTGCATGCTCTTCCTCAGTGTTTCTGTCTTGTTTTCCAGCACAAATATCTAAACATTCTTACATCAAGATGTGTCTTCAGTCACTCCAGGCTTCAGATCTCTCTGAGGTTTTATTAGGAACTGCCCTCTAGAGGCGCTTCACACACACACACACACACACACACACACACACACACACACACACACACACACAAACACACACACGCACGCACGCACGCACGCACACACGCACACACAGAGGCACACACAGGCGCGCACGCACACACACACACACACACAAAGGCACACACACACACAAAGGCACACGCACACACACACACAAACGCACACACACACAAAGGCACACACACACACACACACACTGGCACACACACACACGCACACGCACACACACACGCACACGCACACACACACACACACAGGCACACACACACACGCACACACACACGCACACACACACACACACGCACGCACGCATGCACACACGCACACACAGAGGCACACACAGGCGCGTGCGCACACACACACACACACACACACACACACACACACACAAAGGCACACGCACGCACACACACACACACACACACACACAAAGGCACACACACACACACACACACACACACACAGGCGCACACGCACACACACACGCACACGCACACACACGCACACACGCACACGCACACACACACGCATACGCACACACACACACACCATCAGTGATGATCAATGAACCATCAGACATTAGATGTCAAATGGGATTTCAATGGAATGATAATGACTCTAAATGGCATTAAGTATATTAGCTCGACGTGTAATCTTAGAAGCTCTCATCATCTATTTTATTGGATGATTATGATGATATTCTATGATGAACTAAATTAATGAATCGTCAAATACTGTAATAAACTTCTTTAAGGTTGATTCGAGCACTTTAGAGAAGTCAGTGATTTTTAGACATGAAAGGTTTCTAACAAATTCAATCTCTTGATATATTCAGATATTGTTTATGACAATTATCTAAAAAAGTATTTTAGTATTATTTATATACTGTTATAGTTTTTTGAATTAGCATTTATTTTTATATAATCAGTTTTCATTTTACTTTCAACTTAATTCTTTGTATGTTTATAGGATTTTAACTTTTTTATTTTTTTATTTACATTTTAGTGCTTTGCATTTTTTTTCATCTAGTATGTGATTTTATTTCAGCTTTATTTCCATTAACAGAAATGTTTTATTTATAGTTTTGGTAAAGGATAATAACCCTGGATTAAAGCCACAGACTATTTAGGTTTATTAAAAAATAAAAATCAGTTTCAGTTTTTATTTATTTCCAGTTAGACATTTTAATGCAATATTTTTAATTTAATTTAGTTTTTTTTTATATAATATTTATATTTTATTTTAGCTGTATTTCACTTAGCAAAAATGGATTGTTTTGATAATGATAAAAACCCTGGACTAAATGTACATTCCATTTATTTTAATTTAATTTTAATTTAATTTTTATTTTAATTATTTAATTTGCTTCCAGGTAGATATTTTAGTGCTTCAACTTGAACATATTTCAATTTATTGCCATGCAACATTCCTAATTTACTTTGTTTTTCATCCAATATTTATATTTTATTTCAGCTGCATTTCAATTAACAAAAACATTTTGGATTATTTGGGTTTATTTTATTTTTACTTCAGTTTCAGTTTTTATTTATGTCCAGTTAGACATTTTAGTACGACATTTCAAATTTTTGTTTAGTTTAAGTTGTTTTATCTGATATTTTATTTTATTTCAGCTGTATTTCACTTAACAGAAATGTTTTCAGTAGTTTTAGTTAACGATAATAGCCTTGTATTAAACATCCCCAGACAACAACATCGTGTCGGCCCAGATCCGGCCCACATCTGGAACTTGTGGATTCAGCGTGTACCGGATGTGGGCCGGATGTGGGCCGACACTATGTTACTGTCTGGGTCCAGAGCTAATAAAAGAGTGAGTTTATCATCTGAAGTCCCTGTTCGGTCTGTGTTTGTGCAGGAGATGGACGTGCCGAACCACGTGTGAATGGAGAACCGAGCCGCTGCGATCATCATGAACGTCAGCGCTAACGCCTCAGATGTCCTGTTCACACACAGTCTATGGGAAGTGGTGACGATCGCTAGCGTCTCCGCCGTGGTGAGCCTCGTGACCATCATTGGGAACGTTCTGGTGATGCTGTCCTTCAAGGTGAACAGCCAGTTGAAGACGGTCAACAACTATTACTTGCTTAGCCTAGCCTTCGCGGACCTCATCATCGGCGTGTTCTCCATGAACCTGTACACCTCATATATCCTCATGGGCTACTGGGCTCTCGGAAGCCTAGCCTGTGATTTATGGCTAGCGTTGGATTATGTGGCTAGTAACGCCTCTGTGATGAACCTACTGGTTATTAGCTTCGATCGCTACTTCTCTATAACCAGACCGCTGACGTATCGAGCCAAACGCACGCCGAAGCGAGCGGCCATCATGATCGGGTTAGCTTGGCTCGTGTCTTTCGTTCTCTGGGCGCCACCGATCCTCTGCTGGCAGTATTTTGTGGGAAAACGGACGGTTCCTGAACGACAGTGTCAGATCCAGTTCTTCTCCGAGCCTGTGATTACTTTCGGGACGGCGATAGCCGCCTTTTATTTCCCTGTATCCGTCATGACTATCCTTTACTGTCGGATATATAAGGAAACCGAGAGACGCACTAAAGATCTCGCCGAGCTTCAAGGCGTAAACTCTTCGCCAAACTCCAGTGGCGAGACTCAAACCGCTCGCTCGTGTTGCGGCTGCAAGCATACGAGCGAAAGCATACAAAACTCCACTCCTAAAGCGGCCGAGTTCAACAGCTACGCCTCCTCCGAGGAAGAGGAGCGATCCACGTCTCCCGGCGTCTTCCAGGCGTCCAAACGCAAAGCCGACGAGCAGAACCACTTCAGAACGAGTCCTACCCTGGTGAAGAAAAATATGCTAAGTATACTTGCAGCTAGACTAATTCAGCACACTTCAAGTGTGTTAATGATTAGTTAAAGGTGCAGTGTGTAATATTTAGGAGGATCTGTTGACAGGAATGCAATCTCATAAACATAACTATGTGTTCAGTGGCGTATAAAGACCTTACATAATGAAGCGTTGTGGTTTTATTAGCTTAGAATGAGCATTTCTCTCTACACACACCGCGGGTCCGCTTACATTCATGTTTCTACGGTGGCCCTGAGCGGACAAACACGTTTCGTCACTGTGTTGTTCTTCGTGTAAAGAAGCTGCTAAAGCAGCGAGCAAAACACTGATGAACAAGTCACAATATATTCCCCAAAACATCGTTTTACTGAATAATTAAGTAAACCTAATTTCTTAATTTATCTTTGTAAAGAAACCTCATTGCTGAACTGGCTCCTCTCTGCTGTCTCAGACGACGACATCACTTCCTGTCGACCACCGTAACTTCTGTTGGGTGCAATTCACAACCTCACCACTAGATGGCGCTATACATTACACACTGCACCTTTCACTTGAAGTGTGCTATTTTGGAACAACTAATTTTGAACTATGTATATTTTAGTTGTAATTAAATTGTAGTAAAGCATAACTTTAAGTGTATTTAGTGTACTTGTGTGTGCTAAATGCCTGTGTCGGGACTAATTACATGCTTGATTATTGATATTAAAGTGTACTTTATTACACGTTACAAGTACATTCATTGCGAGTGTCTTTGAAACATACAAGCAATATACTATAAGTGTATTATATTTGAGTAAAAAGTATATGCTCAGTAATACCTTGTACTACAGTAATTCCAAATACTACAAATTGCACACTTTGTCTTCAATAACAAATGCACATTAATAAACAAATAATTCTTAGCTGTACTTTGTACAATATACTATTGTATACTATAACATTTTCAGCACACAGTTAAAATATACCTAAAATTTATTTTTAATAAAGTGCAAATAAGTACACTTTTAAAAAATAAACAGACTTTTCACTTCAAGAATTTTTAGAAAATATACTAAAGTACAATTATTTTAAAGTGTGTTAAAAGTTGCATTGTGAAAATAGGTAAAAGCATGATGCTTATATACTATTAATATATTTAAAAATAGTACAAATTTTTGTTTGTATATTTGCAATGTACTATTGAAAAAGGAAATATATTTCAAATACAATAAAGTATACTTTTTTCACTAGGGTACGCGGAGCAAGAAGTGCGTCTCCTACAAGTTCAAACCAACCGTTCCACTAAAGAACACCAACGGAGACGCAAAACCCTCGTCTTTCTCATCCGCCGAATCCGTGAACGCACCCTCCTCCTCGTCTTCCTCCAAACCTATCGACGGCACACTAAAAAGCCAGATAACCAAGAGGAAGAGGATGGTGCTGATCAAAGAGAAGAAGGCGGCACAGACTCTGAGCGCCATCTTGCTGGCCTTCATCCTCACCTGGACGCCGTATAACATCATGGTTCTGGTGTCCACCTTCTGCTCCGACTGCATCCCGCTCTCGCTCTGGCATCTGGGATACTGGCTGTGTTACGTCAACAGCACCGTCAACCCCATGTGTTACGCGCTCTGCAACAAAACCTTCCAGAAGACCTTCCGCATGTTGCTTCTGTGCCAGTGGAGGAAGAAGCGTGAGGAGGAGAAGCTGTACTGGTGCGGGCAGAACCCGGCGGCGGGCGGCAGACTCGCCTGAGACACGCCTGAGGCACGCCAGAGACACGCCTGAGACACGCCTGAGACCTTCGGCAGACTCGCCTGAGAGTCGCCTGAGACCTTTAGCAGACTCTCCTAAGACTCTCTTGAGACTCACCTGAGACTCGCCTGAGACCTTCGGCAGACTCGCCTGAGACCCGCCTGAGACCTGCCTGAGACTCGCCTGAGACCTTCGGCAGACTCGCCTGAGAGTCGCCTGAGACCTTCGGCAGACTCGCCTGAGACTCACCTGAGACCTTCGGCAGACTAACCTGGGACTCACCGGAGACCCGCCGGAGACCTTTAGTAGAACCGCCTCAGACCTTCGGCAGACTCACCTGAGACTCGCCGGAGACCTTTAGTAGAACCGCCTCAGACCTTCGGCAGACTCGCCTGAGACTCGCCTGAGACCTTCAGCAGACTCTCCTAAGACTCGCCTGAGACTCGTCTCAGACCTTCGGCAGACTCGCCTGAGACTCGTCTCAGACCTTCGGCAGACTCGCCTGAGACTCGCCTGAGACCTTCGGCAGAGTCGCCTGAGACTCACCTGAGACTCACCTCAGACCTTCGGCAGACTCGCCTGAGAGTCCCTGAGAGTCGCCTGAGAGTCGACCTGGGAGTCACCTGAGACCTTCAGCAGACTCTCCTAAGACTCACCTGAGACTCGTCTGAGACCTTCGGCAGACTCGCCTGAGACTCGCCTAAAACCCGCCTGAGACCTTCAGCAGACTCGCCTGAGACGCCCCAGATTCATCAGACAACTGACTTTAAAATACTATCACAGGACAGAAACCAGTTTTACTGTCAACTGAAAAGTTTTGATTTGTAATGTTTCTGAAAGAGTCTCTTCTGCTCACTAAGGCTGCATTTATTTGTTGAAAAATACAGTAAAAATTATTAGGGAACATGATATATTGGCGACCATATCAGTTCTGTATCTGCTAATATATGTCCTTTTTTAATGAAATTTGGCTGATATATTAAAGCCGATGAATAATGTATTATTTCCTTCAGCAGAGACACTTCAGATGCGCACTGTTCAACATGAGGGTTTTTAATTGCTTGAAATATGATTGGAATCACTTCAAAAAGGAAAATCCAGTTAAAGTGCAATGTGCAGCGCAAGTCTGTCATATCGGCTACATAAAATTATAATGAGAACATTATGGTGGGACTTTTGTTTTTGTAATCATGGTCTCAACAATTATATAAAGTTTTATTTTTAGTTTTATTTGCCAATATATTGGTTAATATTGGTTATATAATTGGTTATATTGGCTTTCAAATATAAAGAATTATTGTTATCCGTTTCGGCCCAAAAAAATTATGTCGGTGCATCCCTAAAAATTTTGAAATATTATTCCAATGTAAAACGTCTCGGTTACATACTGTATGTAACCCTTGTTCCCTGAAGGAGGGAAAGGAGACGTTACGTCAGAATGTCTGACGAATGGGGTCTCGCCCGAGAGCCCAATCACCTTCGAGTTGCAAAAAAACGAGCCAATGGTATGCAAAGTACCTTTGTCTGCAGAATTTGCAGCGCGAGCTCCGCCCTGCTGTGTGGGTATATAAGGAGCAGCGCGTGCATACTCACATTCATGTTCTTCGCTAAAGAGCCTAGAGGTGTGTCCCGGCTGTTCAGCAGTACAGCGGTTGTGGCAAGGGGACGTAACTTCTCTGTTCCCTCCTTCAGACGTTCCCTTTTAGTCAATCACGTTCTACGTTACGTCAGAACGTCCGACAAATGGGGTCCTATCCAAAAACGCCACTATGGCGGTCTTCCAGTGCCTGGCGCAAGCCACAGCTCCCTGTCTTGAGGCCAGCATGACCGAAGGGCTGAAATGAACGTCAGAGTTACCAAGGTACACTGGGTAGCAATTCCATCAGGAAAATGCAAGTACGCTGCCTACCCGTAGGGAGGACTTAAAATACACCTATGAACTGCCTAGGAGGAATACATATGGAAGATCTCTGACATAATGAAACCAGAGGTTGGAATATATTTCAACCTCATAGAGGCAAGAGTGGTCTTGTCAACGGAAAGACACGTGCTGTCGGAGGAGACTTACTGTGGAAATACACACTTGGGATTGCCCAGGCAGGGGAATCGCAACACATGGAGGCCCCTAGTCCAACACAAGGGCAGGCCAACTGGGCAGCACACAGGTGTTAGACGTCAACAGTGCTGGAGGAACCCAGGGTTCAGAACTGTGGAACTCACCTGAGGAAATCAGCACATGCATCCAGTCCGTGGAGTGGAATGGCACAGCAAGCGAATGACACCAAGCAGGTCCTACTTACTGGCTACTTGAAGTGAGTATACGGGAGGACACAGGCTCTACACAGAGATTATAGAATCTCGCAAATGTGTTAGGTGTCGCCCAGCCCGCAGCTGTACAAATGTCTGCTAGCGAGGAGCCATGCGCCAACGCCCAGGAGGAAGCAACACTCCTGGTCGAGGGGACATGGCAGTCTTTGGGCTTGGTAAGCCATGGTAAAAGCATCCGCTATCCAGTGGGACAACCTCTGCTTGGAGACAGCCTTTCCCATCTGCTGGCCTCCATAACAGACAAAGAGCTGGTCTGAGGTCTTGAAACACTGAGGTCTATCTACGGACATTAAATTTAACATTAAATTTAATATTCAACAATAATATTGATCTGCCTGCATTGACACCATTATATGAGAACTGAACTGAGCTGGACGATGTCATCGCGATTTTCTCCAGAGTGGCTATATATATAAATGAACTAAAACTTTTTTACAACAAAAATGAAACATCACTGAACTTACTTAAGCTGGACTGTGACGCTATTTTCTTCTGGAAACAAACTTTGTTGCATTATTTTCCTGTTATCTCTGTAAAGCTGCTTTGAAACAAAAGGGGGCGTATTGGAAAGAGCAGTGCTAGGGCTGGGTCTGCCTCCCCCAGTGATCCCTGAAGGGGGGGTGGGAACTTTGGGCACATATCCCAGCCGGGGTCTCAGGGTCACCTGAGAGTTAGCCGGCCCGAATTCCAGGCACGCTTCATCTCAAGAGGGTATCTACTGAGGGCCGGGCGGATTGAGCCTCCTAGCTCCTTGCAGGAACCTGATGACCAGGCCGTGTTTCCCTTCTGGCTTAGAGTCAATGCGCATCTCCTGCATTAGCCCTGGGTCAGCACTGCCCTTGTGCATCTGTTTGAGTGCCTTGGCCTGGTGGACCTGCAGAATCCCCATGGCCCGCAGCTCTGTAAGCCTTAGCCATGAGAGTGGAAGAAAACTTACAGGCCTTGGACGGGTGCTTGGGGTCGCCACGCCAGGTGGAGGTGCTCTGAGGACACAGTTGGATCGCAACAGAGTGCTCCACTGGGGGAACCCCAGCATAGACCTTGGCCGCCCCGCCGTCGAGGGCAGTGAAGGCGGAGATAGGCCCAGAACGGTTACGGGCAGTCAGAGGTGCCCTCCACGAACTGCTGACTTCCTCATGCACTTTCGGGAAGAATGGAACTGAGACCCAAGAACCCAAGAACCAATCATCCAGCCTTGAGCGCTCGGGGCACGGTGGAGGGTTCCAGTCAAGCCTGATCCTCTCGGCTGCCCGGGCAAGCATGGCCGTCAGCTCTGGATCAGACTCGGGGAAAGCTGTCGTCCCAGATAGTGTTGTCAAATGTACCGACTTTGGTACAACGTTTTTTTTTTACTTTCAAACACTTCCAAGTGCTCTCAAACACTCTCATGCATTGAACATTGTTGCCAATCACAGACATATCCGATGAGCGTGTGAACACAATGGCCAATCAGAGGTGTTTACTATTACGTCCTTCGGATGAGACGTTAAACCGAGGCCCTGACTCTCTGTGGTCATTAAAAATCCCATGGCACTTCTCGTAAAGAGTAGGGGTGTAACCCCGGTGTCCTGGCCACATTCCACCCATTGGCCCCTCCCAATCATGGCCTCCTAATAATCCCCATCCACTGAATTGGCTCTATCACTCTCTCTCCTCTCCAACTATAGCTGGTGTGTGGTGAGCGCACTGGCGCCGTTGTACTGTGGCTGCCGTCGCATCATCCAAGTGGATGCTGCACACTGGTGCTGGCTGAGGAGAGAACCCCTGATATGATTGTAAAGCGCTTTGGGTGTACAGTAGTACATATGAAAGCGCTATATAAATGCCTCATTCATTCATTCATTCATTCATTCATTCATTACGCTCAACAGCGCTCAAAGCAGCACATTATTAAAATTTCAGTACCGACTTGGTACCGAAGTCGATACTTTTGACAACACTAGTCCCAGAGGGAGGCAACTCAGCGGAATCCTCATCTCCAGAGGACTCAAGCCCATCTTGTGATGCGGCGATCGACATCTGATCATCCGCCGGTGCCCCGAATGAAACGCTGGGTCGCTGTAGAGAGGAACCAGCAATCTCATCCGGAAGCACCACAGTTTGTGACGCCAGAGAGGGGCGTGTGGCCCGAGGAGGTTGACTCGTCGGGGAAGCCCACACCATCACCCTGACATCAGCCGAAGTAGCCCTCTCACGGAAAGAGGAACTAGATTGCTGTATGACAGAGGGGACTCTACCTCGTCCGAGGGTCAGTGAGTCTCGATCGTAGCGTCGATGGTTTACCACGATTTACCACACTCTAGTATGATTTGCTATCATTTACCACATTGCTTGCATGATTTACCTTGATTTACCACATTCTAGCATGATTTATAATAATAATAATAATAATAATAATTCATCACATTTATATAGCGCTTTTCTGGACACTCAAAGCGCTTCACATAGAAGGGGGGAATCTCCTCAACCACCACCAATGTGCAGCATCCACCTGGATGATGCGACGGCAGCCATATTGCGCCAGAACGCCCACCACACACCAGCTTACTGGTGGAGAGGAGACAGAGTGATGAAGCCAATTGGTATATATATATGGGGATGATTAGGAGGCCATGAAGGACAGAGGCCACTGGGCAAATTTGGCCAGGATGCCGGGGTTACACCCCTACTCTTTCGAAAGACATCCTGGGATTTTTTGTGACCACAGAGAGTCAGGACCTCGGTTTAACGTCTCATCCGAAGGACGGTGCTCAATTTACAGTATAGTGTCCCCGTCACTACACTGGGGCGTTATGACCCACACAGACCACAGGGTGAGCGCCCCCTGCTGGCCTCACTAACACCTCTTCCAGCAGCAACCTGGTTTTCTCAGAAGGTCTCCCATCCAGGTACTAACCAGGCTCAGCCCTGCTTAGCTTCAGTGGGCAACCAGTCTTGGGCTACAGGGTGATATGGCTGCTGCATGATTTACCTTGATTTACCACGTTCTAGAATGATTTACCTTGATTTAGCATGTTTCTAGCTTGATTTTCTATGACTTACCACGTTCTAGCATGATTTACCTTGATTTACCACATTCTAGCACGATTTACCTTGATTTACCACATTCTAGCACGATTTACCTTGATTTAGCATGTTTCCAGCATGATTTTCCATGATTTACCACGTTCTAGTATGATTTACTATGATTCTAACATGATTTACCATAGTTTACCATGATTTACCATGTTATTAACATGTTTTAACACTTAGTTAGTCGTTATTAACATGTCGTTATTATTCACTGCTAGCATGCGTAACATGTTGGAAGTCCTGTTTGCTAGCATGAGTCAAAAGAATTGACCAAGGGTCATCCTCCCCCAATGGGTACATGACTCATCCCCGAATGCTGAAAGCCCAGACACCTGAGACAGCCCTCATGACTGTCAGACGGAGGCAGAAACCGACCGCACCAAGAAACACACGGGCGAAGTGACATCTTTAAAAAGACGCACCCGACGCATCTTTTAGAGAAATAAGCTCTTTTAAGCAGTGCTGAAGCGCACAGGGGAGATCAAGAGCTCTTTAGTGATCTCCGCTGAACGCAGCATCACACCAACACAACACTGAAGAGACTTAAAGGTTGTATCAGCGATTTCAGGCCCAAAAAAGGCCCAAACATAAATGATCACATTCATCTAAACTTTCCTAACGATCCGCTAGCTGCCCGCCCCGTAAGCATGCCATCAAAAAACGCGTCTCTGTAGGCAGCCTAGGCTCTGAGATCTGCACACAAAAACAATTGGGTTCACCAACCACTCACAACCGAAATAAAAAGTGTTCCAACCAATCACCGACAGGTAGGGTTTTGCGCTCGTGCACGGCTACACGCGAAGTTGGAGCTGAAGAAGAAGCCAGCGTCTATCAACGAACCCATGTCGGTCAGCTATAGCGGGCAGCTAGCGGATCGTTAGGAAAGATTAGATGAATGTGATCATTTTTGTTTGGGTCTTTTTTGGGCCTGAAATCGCTGATACAACATTTAACTTGAAGATTTTCAAAACGAAAGTGATCGTAGAAGAAGCACAATAACACTCGGCTCCGAAGCGAAAGCATGAATGCGAGTATGCACACGCTGCTCCTTATATTCCCACACAGCGGGGTGGAGCTCGCAAATCAGATTCCGCAGATCAAGGTACTTTGTATACCATTGGTTAGTTTTTTTTACATCTCGAAGATGATTGGGCTCTCGGGCGAGACCCCATTCGTCAGACGTTCTGACGTAACGTAGACCGTGACTGACTGAAAGGGAACAGCTGTTTTCTATGTGAATATATAGTAAAGTGTAATCTATATGTGATCAAAGCTGGATTTTCAGCATCATTACTCCAGTCTTCAGTGTCACATGATCCTTCAGAATTCATTTTACATTGTTTTACATTCTAATAATATTTTACTGTTTTACTGTATTTTTGATCAAACAAATGCAGCTTTAGTGAGCAAAAGAGACTCTTTCAGAAAGATTAGCAAAACCTTTGACTGGTAGTTTAGTTTAACCCAAATATGAACTGTCCCCCCCCCCTAAAAAAGTCCTAAATGTACCATAAAACTGGCTCATTTGAGTCTCTAAGTCTCCTGTAAATCTATACCATGTTTGCAAAGGGAATGATTGAGTTAACGGTAAAGTTTGCAGGTTTTCAACCAGTTTTGTGTCGTTATAGTGTCTGTGAACGATGTGATGTAAATGATCTTACCTGAACCTGATCTCTCACTATATTTCTCAGCATAAAGGATGAATTACAGCTTCAGGAATCGGACGTCTGCATTTATGTGCTCCCAAAATCAAAAGGGCATTATAGGCGTTGAAGTTTTGGGGAAAATGCAACTCGTTTTTTACAGACTAGTTTTATTAAAAGCCCATCTTTCCAGTCGAAATCCTCCTTTACTATTTTCATAAGTATTTTTGTGTGAACTTTTCCTTTAACTCTGTCCTAACTCTTGAGTTCATTTGTAAAGCAGATGTGTGTAATCTTCGAATGTTGTGACGCTTTCACAACATTGATCCTTTATGGAAATAAACCTCCCACCATTATCAAATATGAGGGATGATGGAGATCCAGTTGTAAGAATATGAAGAAAGAGATTGAGTTTCACGAGTGCAGAACAAAGACACCATCATGTTTTTGCTCAGTGATGATTTTATTCATGTTTTGTTTCTGTCACAGTCTTAATAAGGGCTAATGTTGTACATTTCACAGGCTCGATGTCGATTGTACCCTCTTTAAATGCCTTACTGTACCATTATAAGAACGACAGAAACAGCTTCATTTCTCCTGGTGTGATTTCATCCCAATGGATCTGGATGTTTCCCGCTGTCGTGTTGATGAAGATGTCTGAGTTTCAGGAAACAACCCGTTTAATGACAGTGTGTGATTTGGAAGATTGGTTTAAATGTGCCGTAAACAACTCAATGAGGGTGAACAAACATGTCAGAACTTTCTATTTTCATCGGCTTTATTGCTCGGAGGATTGAAACCGCACTGCAAAAAGCATCAGTGTTTCTGTGTTTTCCAGCACAAATATCTAAACATTCTTAAATCAAGATTTACTGGAGAAGCGAAATGACTGAAGATCAGAAAAGAAGTGAGTTTGTGTTTAAGACAAGAAATAATCTTGTTTTCCCTTTGAATTAAGATGTTTCTTCTGACTCCATTGGCAGATATTTGTTCTTGTTTTAAGCACAAACTCACTACATTTTGATACATTTTTCAGAAACAAGACTTAATATCTTGGCATTTTGTAATGTTTATATGTTTATCACAATGTTTATATATTTGTGCTGGAAAACAAGACTATAATCTGCAGTGCGTCTTCGGTCTGTTAATTCCCTGTAATCGTGTGTGTGATCTGTTTTATGAAACTTTTTGCACTTCAGTACAAATAAATCTGACGTTTAAATGTTTATTGAATAAAAAAGAAATAGATAATTGATCATCATGTGTTGAATGGGTTAATAATTCAACCCTACAATGTTTTTGTCTTGTTTTCCAACGCAGTTTTCTCCTTTAGAAGCAAAACGACAAGAGTTTTTTTCAGAATTTAATATGAAGTTTATGATTAAAACTTGCCATTGGGGTCAGAAAAATAATCTTGTTTTTCCTTTTGATTCAGATTATTTTATTTTCTTATTTGCAAATAAGAAAAGTCATCCAGTCAAGTCACCTTTATTTATATAGCGCTTTTAACAATACAGATTGCTTCAAAGCAGCTTTACAGAGATAACAGGAAATTAATTGAACAGAGATTGTTTTGGTTTTACAGTAAATACATCTTGTTTGAAGGAACAAATTTACGAGCTATAATAAATGATCTGGTATTTTGAGCTGAAATTTCACAGACACATTCTGGGGACACCATAGATTTATATTACATCTTGTGAAAAGAGGCATAATATGTCACCTTTAAAGCATATTAAAAACACCACATGGACATATAAACAACATTAAAAGCTGGATTTACACCACAGGGAGACTTTAATTAAAAACATCACTAAATTCTGTGAGATACACCTCCAGTAAATTCTTCGGTAACACTTTATTTTACTGTGTCCTTGTTACATTTGTTACATGTACTTACCGCAGTAATAACAGTAAATTGTGCATAATTACATGCAACTAACCCTCAACCAAATCCTAATCTTACCCAAACCCTGTAGTAAGTATGTTGTTAATTATTATTACTCAGTTCTTAAATGTATAATTACATCGTAACAATGACACCTTAAAATAAAGTGTGCCCAGTTCATCTTGTTTGAAGGATGTTGAGATGCTCAGAGCTCGTCTCTCGCGCAGTCTCCGGAGCGAACCACCTTGACCTGGTCTGAAGGTCTCACCATCATCCAGGCGTATTTGCACAAGTGCTCTTTATTACAGTCCTTCTGCCAGTAGATGACGTTCCTGCGGTTGAGGTTCGCGCCGGCGCACGCGTCGTACCACCACCCTCCGCCCGCAACGCCCTGGAACTCCAGCTTAGCGCAGTTCTGGAAGTAGTTGTCGTTGTCCCGGTCTCGGGTGGTGAAGCGCTGGTTATCGTGAAGATAGTTCTCGGTGTCGAGCGTGAGAGCGTCCGCCGCCGTGCCCTGAAACGGACCCAAACGCAGGCGGTACTGGGCGTCCTCGTCCTCCACCAGAACTGGGTCGTACTCGCCGGTCTTGGTCATGGCGTCCTGGTCGACTAGCTTGACGGCGAGCTTGTAGCGCACGGGTCCGCCGGTGAGCCGGTGCAGGTGCTCGTTGCCCAGCCAGTGGTTCCCGGTGAGCGACCCGAAGCCTCGCTTGTACTCGGCCCAGGTTCTGTCGAAGTCCACGCTGCTGTTGACCGTGATGTGCTGGACCACCGTCCACCCGCCCTCGCTCATGGCACAGAACACCGCGATCGGCGAGTCTCCGGGTCGGATCAGGTACAGCCCGTCCCGAACCTGACCGCCAGAGCTGTGCCACAGATCATGACAGTCCCGGGGAATCTCTGAGAGAACAAGAAATAAATTACAGCTATATAAATATCATACTAAAATACTAAAATTTGTGCTAGGCAACGATTAATCGTGATTAATCACATCCAAAATAAAAGTTTAAACTGTAATATTTACATAAAGTAGTGCTGGGAGACGATTAATCGCATCCAAAAAATGTATAAACTGCAATATTTACATAAAGTAGTGCTGGGCAACGATTAATCGCATCCCAAAAAAGCATAAACTGTAATATTTATATAAAGTAGTGCTGGGCAACGATTAATCGCATCCCAAAAAAGTATAAACTGCAATATTTAGATAAAGTAGTGCTGGGCAACGATTAATCGCATCCAAAAAATGTATAAACTGCAATATTTACATAAAGTAGTGCTGGGCAACGATTAATCGCATCCAAAAAATGTATAAACTGCAGTATTTACATAAAGTAGTGCTGGGCAACGATTAATCGCATCCAAAAAATTTATAAACTGCAATATTTACATAAAGTAGTGCTGGGCAACGATTAATCGCATCCAAAAAATGTATAAACTGCAATATTTACATAAAGTAGTGCTGGGCAACGATTAATCGCATCCAAAAAAAGTATAAACTGTAATATTTACATAAAGTAGTGCTGGGCAACGATTAATCGCATCCAAAATAAAAGCATAAACTGTAATATTTACATAAAGTAGTGCTGGGAGACGATTAATCGCATCCAAAAAATGTATAAACTGCAATATTTACATAAAGTAGTGCTGGGCAACGATTAATCTAATCCCAAAAAAGTATAAACTGCAATATTTACATAAAGTAGTACTGGGCAACGATTAATCGCATCCAAAAAATGTATAAACTGCAATATTTACATAAAGTAGTGCTGGGCAACGATTAATCGCATCCAAAAAATGTATAAACTGCAATATTTACATAAAGTAGTGCTGGGCAACGATTAATAGCATCCAAAAAATTTATAAACTGCAGTATTTACATAAAGTAGTGCTGGGCAACGATTAATCGCATCCAAAAAAAGTATAAACTGTAATATTTACATAAAGTAGTGCTGGGCAACGATTAATCGCATCCAAAAAATGTATAAACTGCAGTATTTACATAAAGTAGTGCTGGGAGACGATTAATCGCATCCAAAAAAAGTATAAACTGTAATATTTACATAAAGTAGTGCTGGGCAACGATTAATCGCATCCAAAAAATGTATAAACTGCAATATTTACATAAAGTAGTGCTGGGAGACGATTAATCGCATCCAAAAAAAGTATAAACTGTAATATTTACACAAAGTAGTGCTGGGCAACGATTAATCGCATCCAAAAAAATTATAAACTGCAGTATTTACATAAAGTAGTGCTGGGAGACGATTAATCGCATCCAAAAAAAGTATAAACTGTAATATTTACATAAAGTAGTGCTGGGCAACGATTAATCGCATCCAAAAAATGTATAAACTGCAGTATTTACATAAAGTAGTGCTGGGAGACGATTAATCGCATCCAAAAAAAGTATAAACTGTAATATTTACATAAAGTAGTGCTGGGCAACGATTAATCGCATCCAAAAAATGTATAAACTGTAATATTTACATAAAGTAGTGCTGGGCAACGATTAATCGCATCCAAAAAATGTATAAACTGCAGTATTTACATAAAGTAGTGCTGGGAGACGATTAATCGCATCCAAAAAAAGTATAAACTGTAATATTTACATAAAGTAGTGCTGGGCAACGATTAATCGCATCCAAAAAATGTATAAACTGCAATATTTACATAAAGTAGTGCTGGGCAACGATTAATCGCATCCAAAAAATGTATAAACTGCAATTTTTACATAAAGTAGTGCTGGGCAACGATTAATCGCATCCAAAAAAAGTATAAGCTGTAATATTTACATAAAGTAGTGCTGGGCAACGATTAATCGCATCCAAAATAAAAGTATAAACTGTAATATTTACATAAAGTAGTGCTGGGAGACGATTAATTGCATCCAAAAAATGTATAAACTGCAATATTTACATAAAGTAGTGCTGGGCAACGATTAATCTAATCCCAAAAAAGTATAAACTGCAATATTTACATAAAGTAGTACTGGGCAACGATTAATCGCATCCAAAAAATTTATAAACTGCAATATTTACATAAAGTAGTGCTGGGCAACGATTAATCGCATCCAAAAAATGTATAAACTGCAATATTTACATAAAGTAGTGCTGGGCAACGATTAATCGCATCCAAAAAAATTATAAACTGCAGTATTTACATAAAGTAGTGCTGGGCAACGATTAATCGCATCCAAAAAATGTATAAACTGTAATATTTACATAATGTAGTGCTGGGCAACGATTAATCGCATCCAAAAAATTTATAAACTGCAGTATTTACATAAAGTAGTGCTGGGAGACGATTAATCGCATCCAAAAAAAGTATAAACTGTAATATTTACATAAAGTAGTGCTGGGCAACGATTAATCGCATCCAAAAAATGTATAAACTGCAATGTTTACATAAAGTAGTGCTGGGAGACGATTAATCGCATCCAAAAAAAGTATAAACTGTAATATTTACATAAAGTAGTGCTGGGCAACGATTAATCGCATCCAAAATAAAAGTATAAACTGCAATATTTACATAAAGTAGTGCTGGGCAACGATTAATCGCATCCAAAATAAAAGTATAAACTGCAATATTTACATAAAGTAGTGCTGGGCAACGATTAATCGCATCCAAAAAAAGTATAAACTGTAATATTTACATAAAGTAGTGCTGGGCAACGATTAATCGCATACAAAATAAAAGTATAAACTGTAATATTTACATAAAGTAGTACTGGGCAACAATTAATCGCATCCAAAATAAAAGTTTTTGTTTACATAATATATGTGTGTGTATACTGTGTATAATTATTTAATCTCTGAGAGAACAAGCAACACCATCAGACTCATCCCCACTCAGTGTTCATCCTCCCACTCTGACTGCCAGCCGTTCATCAGTAATGCTTTTACTGTTTACTGTTTACTTACTCTTTACCGTTTACTGTTTACCGTTTACTGTTTACTGTTTACTTACTGTTTACCGTTTCCTGTTTACCGTTTACTGTTTACTTACTGTTTACTGTTTACCGTTTACCGTTTACTGTTTACCGTTTACTGTTTACTGTTTACTGTTTACTTACTGTTTACCGTTTACCGTTTACTGTTTACCGTTTACTGTTTACCGTTTACTGTTTACTGTTTACTTACTCTTTACCGTTTACTGTTTACCGTTTACTGTTTACCGTTTACTGTTTACTGTTTACCGTTTACCGTTTACCGTTTACTGTTTACCGTTTACTGTTTACTGTTTACTTACTCTTTACCGTTTACCGTTTACTGTTTACTGTTTACTTACTGTTTACCGTTTATTGTTTACCGTTTATTGTTTACTTACTGTTTACCATTTACCGTTTACTGTTTACCGTTTACTGTTTACCATTTACTGTTTACTGTTTACTGTTTACTTACTGTTTACCATTTACCGTTTACTGTTTACTGTTTACTGTTTACTTATTGTTTACCGTTTACCGTTTACTGTTTACTGTTTACTTACTGTGTACCGTTTACTGTTTACTTACTGTTTACCATTTACCGTTTACTGTTTACCGTTTACCGTTTACTGTTTACTGTTTACTGTTTACTGTTTACTTACTGTTTACCGTTTACCGTTTACTGTTTACTTACTCTTTACCGTTTACTGTTTACCGTTTACTGTTTACCGTTTACTGTTTACCGTTTACTGTTTACCATTTACTGTTTACTGTTTACCGTTTACTGTTTACCATTTACTGTTTACTGTTTACTGTTTACTTACTCTTTACCGTTTACTGTTTACCGTTTACTCTTTACCGTTTACTGTTTACCATTTACTGTTTACTGTTTACTGTTTACTTACTGTTTACCGTTTACCGTTTACTGTTTACTGTTTACTTACTGTTTACCGTTTACCGTTTACCGTTTACTGTTTACTGTTTACTTACTGTTTACCGTTTACTGTTTACTTACTGTTTACCATTTACCGTTTACTGTTTACCGTTTACTGTTTACCGTTTACTGTTTACTTACTGTTTACCGTTTAGTGTTTACTGTTTACTTACTCTTTACCGTTTACTGTTTACCGTTTACTGTTTACCGTTTACTGTTTACTTACTGTTTACCGTTTACCGTTTACCGTTTACCATTTACCGTTTACTGTTTACTAAAGCTGGAAGCATTACAGATCGTTTTTGGAAATAAAACTGGAATAAAATATAACTATTAAATCAAAATCTTGCCTTGGCACCTAGCTGAAATAAATGTTAAGTTGAAGTACTAACATTTGTAAAGTAAAAAAAAAAAAAAAAATATATATATATATATATATATATATATATATATATATATATATATATATATAAATTAGATAGATAGATGTTTATTGATATATAGTGAAAGCTAAATTAAAATATTAAAATAGAGAGAAAAATAAACATGTTGCCTTGGCAAATAACTGAAATAAATACGTTTAAGTTGAAGTACTAACTCTCCAAAAAAATAAAATAAAAATAATAATATATATAAAAAATTATTTTTTTAAATACATTAAATCCAAATAGAAATATTTTTAAAAAATATGAAGAAATGTTGTAATAAATATAAGAAACTGTAATAAATGTTTAAGTTAAAGCCCTACGTTGTCTAAAATAAAACATAAAATATTTAGAAGAGTATAAAAATAAATCAAAGATAATATATATATAATCTTTAATTAATTTATATATATATATATATATATATATATATATATATATTTATAAGAAAAATTAAAAAATACTAAAATATATTACAAAAGCTAAATAGGACTATAAAAAGGAAAATACAGCTTTAATTTATTTTTATATTCTTTCATATATTTAATTTTTGTTTTAGAAATTTAACCTAAACACATTTTCTTATATTTATTACACCATTTCTTC